GGAAAGAGAGACTTGGACTTGGACCCATTTGTAGCATAAATGAAAAAAACTTAGAAAAGAGAACAGGCAGAAAAATTTGTCTTTAATGTTCTCAAAGCTTGTTAAAAAATAACGTTCCTTCTCTTGAAACAAACTAAAAAATGCACAAAATTAGTTCATTTATGAGGTAAACAAGGAGGGGGCAAGAGCATAGGTGGCATCTCCTTCAACGTATGAATAGTCGAGGCCGTCCCAATAGGATTTCAGCTAAGGGCTTCTAAACCATTTAATGTTGTTAAACGGAAGATTTTTGTTTTAAAGTGAATTTCAAACTGGAACTTTAAAGTCCATTTGGAATGGATTTTAGTATTCCTATGCTTTTTTTTGAAATTTTTGCCAAAGCAAATTTAGTAATTAATGTTTCTATCTAGTTTTTGCTTAAGAAAATATAAATTCACTTAAAAAAACTTAATCTCTTTTTATGTAATTTTGCTTTAAAAAAATGATTTCGCTTAAATAAACTTAACAAAGTTTCAAGTAAATTTTTTTTTGAGTAAATTTAGACGGTTTGAATTAGTGACCAGATGTATTTTTATTTTTATAAAAATAAATTTGGTCACAAAATTATTATTATTTTAATTTAATAACTAAAATAGCTACTGAGCATATTTTAAATTTTTATAATTGAAAGATCGTTTGTTTGTTGGTAACTATTTTATTTTATATAATCTAGCAATTGAAATAGTGATTGAATGCTATTTGATTATTGTGATAAAAGATTTAATTATAAATTTCTAATTTGACACTATTATTTAGTAATTTTTATTAATTACTAAATTCAATTTTAAACATTCTTAATATATATATATAAACAAGATTTTCTTATACTAGCGTAAATCTAAATTTTTTTATACTTGAACCTTTCATTTAATTTATATTTAATGAATTATAATTTATTACTTTATTAACTATTAGATGTAAGTTAAATAAAAAATTTAGATCAAATATAAGAATTTTTAGATATAAACTGGTATAAAATATATATATATATATATATATATATATATAAAAACTATAGTTAATAAAATTAAAAATATATTTAGACAATACTTTTAATTATTAAATATTTTTTGTATGAATATTTACTTTGATAAAACTTTAATTATATATTTTTATTTTCATTTAATTTTGCAATTAGGGCTAACTACACATTAATATATAAAAAAATTAATATATTTAAACAAAATCTTAATCGATTATTAAAATATACAATAATGATATTTTTATTCAATTTTGTATAGAAATAATTCCTCATGAAATTGTGGTGATAGATCTATTTGCAGGTACAAAAGTTAGGATACTTTTTGAAGGTAAATCAAGTTGAATATTTAAAACTTTCAATTAACTTATTCAAAAAATTATTTTATTTTGAATAAGTTAATTCATTAAAATAAATTTAATTTTAAAATTTGAACGTGACTTTATTAAATTATGTAATTTTACTTATCATGTTTAATTTATCATTATTTTATTACTTTTTATTCATTAAATTTTCATTTGAATATATTTTTATTTATTAATTTATTGTTTAACAAATCGGCTAATTTTTGTTAAATATTAAAAAATAATATTTTAAAAAAATTACAAAAGTATAAAAAAAAATGGTAAAATCAACGTTGCTGGTCAGTTAGAATGCAATGTTTCAATTTTTTTTTATAAGTATTAATTGCTATACTAGTATATTGGCTACTAAAATAGTCAAAATTCATCGTTTCTTATTGATAGTTTTGAGCCTATAACTCAAGTGATGTAACTTGAGTTTCAACTTTAGTGTTTTTCAAAATTTGATATTAGTAATTTGTTTGAAATAGCACATTTGTATAATTAAGGTAAAAAATTAATATTTCTATATATTATTCATTTAAAAACACTATAATAATTATGAATAAATGAATTAACTGGTTGAATGTTGTGTAATCTAGAAAAAAATATAATAATATTTTTTTCTTTAACATTAATTTATTAATTTAAATAAATAATAAATAATAAATAATAAAAATTAAGCTCATTTACAATACATACATGTATTTATATTACGAGTTTGTTGTTAACAATGAATAGTTTTATAAAACAAAATTTAAATTCTTATATATTTTTTATAATATTTTTATTAAATCATTAATTATATTTTTTATTTTTTCTACTGGAATGACATTCAGGATGGGAGTATAAAGGTGTTATTATTCTCTTAAAATAATAACACTGTAAAGTACTTTAATCATTTAAATTTTTTTATGTTATTTAGTTTAAATCATTTATGTCCTGTTGAGTCTGCAATTGTTCTGACAATTAGAATCTGAAACGTCAAAATCGCGTCTGTTAAGCATTCATATCGTTTCAAAGTCATTTCATCTTTGACTTTCTCGCAGTTGCACTGACTGCACAGAACCCGAGCCCCCTCCGCAGCACACTCGCCCTGCCTTCAAGTTAGGAGGATCTTGGATTCTTCTGCAACGCACTATGTGTATTCCTTTGATATATATATATATATATTGTTTTATAAAATTTAATTTTAATAAAAATTTATTAAAAATACTATTTTTTTTTAAATATGATATATGATATCATTTGATCAATTGTAACTTTTATGTATATAACACTGATTAAAATTAAAAGACTAAATATTATATATGTTTATTTTAAAATTTATATAATTCATATTTTTTTTATATAATGTAACTATTTATATAATAAAATTTGTTTAGTTTACTTTTACATAAAAAAAATTCTCATTTAATATTATTAAGTAATAAAAAAATGTTTATACTATCAATATATTTTAATTAAATTCATTGCAATGATGCTTTAGTTATGCTCCTTTTAGTTCATTAATGTTTTTTTTTATAAAATTTTATATAAGGTAATTTAGCCTTATTATAGGATACCATATATGAACTATTTATTATATTTTTTAATTTATACTTAATAATGAAGTTGATAAAAATAAAAATTAATAAAGATAAATATTAATTGTAGAATTATGTTTAATAATATAAATAAATAAAAAATAATTACATTATAATACTTTTCAAAATATAAAAAAATTAAATTTAAAATAAAAATAAAATTTAATATCTTTGAAAAACGGCAGTATAGCTTATTCTAAATTTATACATAATGTGTTTGTGACATTTTCAATTTTATCAATTTTAATTAATTAGTTTATGATAAAACAGTCCAGATAATATACTAATATTTAATATATAATAATATAAATTTATGATTATAAGGACTTAATTAAGTATATACTCTAATATAAAAAAAATCTCAGAAGAAGTTAAGTCCTTTAACATTTATTCAATCGTTATAATTTTAATATGGCATTGATTCGTTATTTTAAAATTTGAAGGGGGGGGGGGGTATTGGTACTTTTTTCATTTAAATTAATTTAAATTATTTAATTAATAAAATAAAACTTTGAAGGGAGTATTGATACTTCTTTCATTCAAAATTGATTAATAAAAGGCCTTTGTGATGTGAACTGAAATATTTTTATAAAAATTTTAAAAAATAAGTGTAAAATTGTCACCTTATTTTTTTAAAAATATTTATTAAATAATAGTAAAAATAAAAAATAATATATTTCTTTCTTTCTAAGTTTCTTGTATCATATTTTAAAAATATTAAGTACAATAAAAATATAATATTTTTTTGTAATAATTTATAAAAGCATAAATAATAATACAAAATATTTTACTAAAATGAATATGATTTATAAGATCTCGGTTTGACAGGGGTGTAGTTGATTTTTCTTGAAAAAAGAAACAAAATAAAATTTTTCAACAAAGTTCAACACTGCCAGTAGATATTTAAATCTTTTGAACATATTAGCAAGGGTTTGATTCTTGATCATGTACGTAAAAAATATTATATTAAAAGAGACTATACCCATATAATTTATATATAAATAAATACCTTGAATATATAATAAAATATAATATAAAATCTTTCATATAGTTTTTATATAATATATAAATGAATCATGATTAGGACGATCTTAGTTTAAGTAAAATAAGAAATAAACTGAGTTGAAAACTATAAGAATTTTTTTTACATAATTATCAATAATAAGTGCCAAATTGAATTTGGAATGAAATTATAGAGATTAAATACGTATTCATTCCCTCATGACAAAGGGTAAGTGGAGCTATTTTATGCAAATTCGTGATTTATAACTGGGGTCACAGAATTTCAAGTTAGAATAGAAGTATTTTTTTCAATCTTATTTATAAAAATAAAAGACTAAATCACAAAAATTAAAAAATAATTAATTCAATTATATTTTTTATAAATATAATTTTTATTAAAAAAATATCTATAATAGTAAATGGTGTAGTTAGTGTAATTATTGCCGTATAAATATATATTTAATAATAAAACAAAGTATTAAAAAATTCAAAAACTAATACATTTCAAATATATCATTTGTTTCTTATAATTAGAATCAAGAAAATACTCAATGTTGTTTCTTATAAAAAATAACCTGGATGGAGTATAATAAACTAGTGCTTGGTCGTCAAAAACAGCTGTAAGACGTGATTCCTTTGTGCTATCTATGGCAATGAAATCCTTTTACACTTGAAATGAATGAAAAAAATACTTTACATTACAGAAATTCTCAGTTTTCTTTCTCTCACCGTCAGATTACATATCATAATAATAAAAAAACAATCCAGAGAGATTGAACACCCATAGTAAGAAGCTGCTTTAGTCAAGTGAAAGTGAAAATCATTTTAGCCACAAAGGCCAATAGTAGCCCGCTATATTAGTCAAATGAATACCATTATGGATGCTCGTTTCTAAAGGTGGGCAGATACAACGCACCAGTCCGCTATCTATTTCCGGCTAGGCCTAAGTCACCACCTATCAACGAAACCGAAGTTTTAAAGAATCTCTGACCTAAGGTTTGAACAACGTATAGATGGCATTATTTGGCCTCCTAATTGAAGTTCAAGGTTAATGATAAAAATTGCACGAAGATCCAGATTTGTATCTATTGTGAAAATTATCCTTTACAAATATAACGAAATCAACTGATCGCCAAATTTCCCCAGTACTCCAACAAGTTCACTGTGGAATAAGAAAAATCACAATGAGGGGCACTAAGGACCACAGAGACCACAATTTCTGATTAAAAAAGGCTTAATTTTACTCGTCGTCTTAAAAAAAAAGCAAAAGCACACTACAATTAGAGACGGTTAAAGGGTAAAAATGCAATAATCAGATAAAAGAAAAAAAAATAACACAAAAAGTGGGGCCCATTTTGCCCGTTTTAACAGCAAACAGCATTTTTTCCAAATGAAAATGATAGCCTTGGATTCTCAGTTGAACCGAAGTTAAACTTTATATCTCCAGCATCATTCTGAACAGCAGTATTGCTTGTAGAAGGAAAGGAAAATACTACTGCAGGACTGGACTTTTTTAAACCAAAACTATATGGCGGTTCAGTAGATCTTTCTTTTAATTGGCGCTGATCCCCAGTAGAAAGTAATGGCATGATGGATGGTGTTGGAGGCTCAGAGAAAACAGAAGAGGAAGTTGAAATAGGAAAGGTAAATCCAGAGCCGTTATCAGATTCTAGCGTCCATCTTGATTTAGGTTTCTTGATGGAAATAGGAGGTAAAACAGGTTTACTGGCTGCAGAGTTAGTGAGTGGTTTCCTTTCTTGATTTACTACGCAAGGATGACTGCCACATGGGAGAGTCTTCAAAGCATCCTGCACGGTGACACATCAGATACTTGGTTCTCAAAATAGCATGCCAAAATTAATATATAATGATATGTTCAAACAAATCAATAAATTGACTTCTAGAAATTTACTTTACTGTATCACCTATGTGATAGGAACTAGTATTACTGAGAAAGAAACAATGGAGTCTAGCAACTTACAATAGAAGGACCCCCCAAAACTTTCACTATATTTCAAGAAGCCTTCTTTCATAACTTTCCCTCCTTGATCTTTGCTCCCAATTCTCTCTTCTATCCTTTCTCCTCTACTCCCCAACTACCCATTTTATTTTGCTAAGTAGCCGTGGGGTTCCTAACAATACCACTCCCAAAAGACTCACTTTGTCCTAGAGGTGATGAGAAAACATGCCTAAGAAAAATGACCAAATTTAACTCCAGATACAAAGGGTTCCACCAGGGACAAGTGTGTTTGTCTAAACAAGGGTCCCATGGACCTCCTAATACCAACCAGATTTTCTTTTCCTTATGATAAAATAAGAAAATTTTAGGATTTAGAGAAGAGCATTAAAAAGGATTATTCTGTAATCACCACACTCGAAAGGATTATTCTGACTGCAGCATCAAAACAATTATAATATATGGCTTTCAATACACCACTACCTAAGGGCATTCTTCAGTACCACTGTTACCACATCCAATTGTCCAACTATCCATCCATCCATCCATCAACTCATTATTGGGCTTAACGGTTTTTCTAACATCCATCAACTCATTACATTGGATGCTATGATATCTTGTGATTTCCAATAAAAGTGTACTATATATAGGTTCTTATTGCATGTTCTTGGACACTTTAGAAAAACCATTTATTTAAAATTGGTCCAGTAACTGACAAAATTCTTGAGACCAATGGATGTGTTAACCGTTATTCATTTTAACCCCCTCAAGAATTTCAAGCTCATGGCTGAATAACGTGATCTGAATATCATTTAACTGGAAGACATGTTTGTGATGGCTATGCAGATGTTCAAATCGCTATTGGCCATTTAAGGTAAGACAAGGCAGAAAATGGGGGGCTGTGACTCCAAGAATATGGGTTCTAACTCATTTGATAACTGTAGTAGTTACTGTGCCAAGGGTTTACAGGGATCTGGGCTGGTTGGTAGCTTGCTTGCACCAAACTTATCAAGTGTTGCAGTAGTTAGTCATGTTCTGGGAGGCTTTCCGCAGGTTTTGATGACTTCTGTAGTTATTAGCCAAGTTGTAGACTGTTTTTCTGGGCAAGAAAAGCTTGTTTTCTTTTGCTTTTCTGGCTTTTCCTGTCGTCATTGCTGAAAAATTAAATGGGCAGAACTAATGCCATGGAAATATGGTTTCTGGGACAAGGCCTATCTCATCATCTCACCCAAAAAGGCTTCCAATATTGCTGCCTCTGAAAAGGACGATTGGCAAAGAGTTTATTATCAACTCATTTCAGTGTTAGGGCAATCTATCAAACCAAAATTAATGATGCATTTCCATCTTTGCAAGCAATCTTATGATATCCAGATGACATCCAGTTTGTTTATCAACTCAAATTGTTTATGCTAATGACATCCACATGACTGACCTTGGTATACCCACCTATGTGAGCAAACTGCTGCTCCCCCCACATTTCCTGATTCTTTGCAACAGTAAGCATTCTACTCTTTATCCTCATCCAATATATAACTTTCGAGTTATCACAAATTGTCTCATTTCCATTATGTCTTTGCTCCCACTATATTGTCCATTACTGTACCGATCAGATCTTATTTTCGGGCAGCACTATCTCATCCATCATGGTGACACACAATGATTGATAAGTTCATTGCCTTAGAAGTCAATTGGGAGTAGACACTTGTCCATGCTCCTCAATGAAAATCCATAGTTGTTGCAAAAGCGTACACTCAAGTGTATGTCTAGATTATAGTGATACCCTTTCTCCTGTGGGTAATATGGTATCTATTTGTTTACTTTTATCTATGGCCACTATGAGCTATTGGTCATTGCATCAACTTGATATCAAGAATACTTTCTTCCGTGGTGACTTAGAAGAGGAAGATCTACATGGAGCAACCACCTAGGTTGGTATAGTTTAAAACATTCACCTCAAAGTTGGTTTAGAGAATTTAGCAAAGTCATCCAACAATTGAAAACGAGTCATTGGGAGACAGATCACTGTTTTATTCAATGCTCACCACAAAATAAACAAATAACGCTTGTATATGTGGATGGTATTGTCATTACAAACAAGTGATGATCAGCAAGGAATTAAGGAGTTGAAGCAACATTTGTTCAAGACATAGCTATTAATCCCGAATAGTGGCATGTAGGGAATGGCCCTAAAAGCACTATGGTGGGATAGTGCTTAGCAGGATGACCACTATTTATATATTTTTTATATAGATATATAATCTATACATAAATAATAATGTATATAATGCTAAAAAAATACTCATTCATAATGCATGGCTTATAATAAATAGACAAGATGATGCCATTGCTTGCTGTCCAATGTTCCTTAGAAAAAACAACGGAGTGTCAACCAATGAAGGGGAGAAGAAAAAAGTGGGGTTAGGGTTTTAATGTATTCTGACAGGTGTGATGTCCATTTTAGCCTTTAAAAAACCCTCAAAACTGTGCCTTTGCAAAAAGGGAAAGTAAGGCTTATTTCTCTACATTTCAAAAGGGGGGAAGTTTATTTTACCCTTAAAAGACCCTAAGAAATTTCATTTTGAGGGAAAAACAGGGAAGTTGGCTTATTTCTCTGTAGCAAAACAATAGCACCCCTAAGAGCCGCATTTTGTGCTACAAAATAAGTCGCAATGATTGCGACAGCAAAATGATAGAAAACTCCCTCAGGTCTTTGAGCCTGCTAACCTCCCTACCATAGGTTCCCAAAATCATCTTCATCACTTAATTCCTGGTTGCCTTATCCCAAACTTCTCTCCTCTTGAGGCTCATACCCTTTTTTCCCTCCGTTCCCAACCTCCTTACTATATAGGCAAGGTTGTTACAAGCCAATTACATATTTCATCATCAGTTCTCTATTCCCAGACTATTAATTTTTTTCTTAACTATTGTAACCATGGGGAATACCTAACATGCAATCAACTTTTTTTAATAAGAATAACAATCAAATTGTGATATTTCTTAGAACAATAATTCAAGTACCTCTTTTGAAGATGTCAATAAATTTTGAGAACCATCAAAATTTTGCGTAGTGCTTGCAACATTACTGAGACTGGGGATGCTGCTGCAAACATTTATGTCAGATGTTAAAGTTCCTTCTTTTCTCACATTCATAGATTTCTGAGTACTCTCCTTAGGTTGCATATCAACATGGTAGTTCCCTTTAACATCATTTCTTAGTGTGGATTTCTTTCCATAAATCCCATCATATTTATAAGGGCTAACATCTTTTAATTTAACCAAACCATTATCTTCATCTGACAAGATAGTACTGAAATCAGTAGAAGATTCAGGATTCTTCCATTTCATTGCCATCTTGAGCTCTGCAGATTTCTCTTTAGGTGTGGGAATGTTTCTATCAATATGGTCCAATATCTTCTTAGCCATCAAACTGGTATGCATGTGTGCTGTTGGCAGTGGCACACCCACCTCAAAGCTCAGTGGTTTGTGAATGCAACTTGTTGCATCTGGATCCATGCTCTTTGCAATAGATGTGAATCGTTCAACAACACCAGAACTTTCTCTCTCTGAAGGGCCATTCAGAGATGAATAAGCTGGTCTTCTTGAAGAAGACTGTGTACCAACTTTATGCCTAATCCTACGAATAGGTCCAACAGATCCATATCCACTTTCTGATGCACCAACTTTGGATTTATCCTGTGTCATAATTAAGTTAGAAAAAGGTTACCACCAAAAAAGTAAAAGATGAAGAAACCAACCAATTTAAAGAATAAAAACAGAAACAAAATAAAGCAATTAAAGGAAGAAATATATTTCAAATAAAGGAAAAATAATAAATAAAAAAAGTTCATCCAGAAATTTAGAGTCATCAAATAACTTCAGCAAAACTCAGATAAATAAGAAAATAACACACAGAATTTCCAGGTTTCAAATGCCTAAATGGGATGTGATTGTTTCAATATATGGTGTCAGCATAGACATTCGACACCACACCCATATTCTTAAGCTTATACGAAATAACTAATAACCAAGTAATTAGGGAAGAATAAAGAATAGTGTTGTTAGTGTATGGCTTTAATAGAACTTCGTGTACCTAGCCTTCGGTTGTAAAAGTAATTTTCTGCTGTAACTGCTTATATATCTGACTGCTATGAGTACCTGCCTTAGCAGGCTGCTTAACTCAATAATAGTATTGCATCCGGTGCTTTGTATAATTTTTGGTAATATTCATTTAATAACCCTTTAGCTGTCTGATCTCTCTTAAATTTCTCTCTCTTCTCTCAAATATTAATAAGTGTTAAGAATCACTAACATGAGAGAGAGAGAGAATAGAGAGGAGAGAAAAGGGAATAAGAGAATTGAGTCTATGTTTGATAGAAACTGAGAATTTTCATTATTGAATAATTTAGTACAATATTATGTGATATGTATACACTGATAGCTAATCCCTAATAACATGGCAGATCACAAACTAACTCACTCTACTAGTTACAGCTGTTATAACAGAATATAGAAACTTCTAGATGCTTGCTTAACAGACTACAATTGTAATAACTCTAACACATAGAATGCCTAAGAATAATGCATAAGTTCCATTTTTCCCACACAACTCGAAATATCAAAGTGAAGGCAGTAAATGTCTAGCTTTTGGCTTGTACAATCAGAAGTTTGGAACTTATAAAAAGATGCAAAAATATGAGATAAAAGAAGTATTCTTTTAAAACAGTTAATATTTAAAATTTATGCCTGTTTATATATAAAAATTTTAAGTCATTCACAGGGAAACAGGAGCAAAGATAAAGCAAGACAGGCATATATACCACAGGACATGAAAGGATCAACAGATTGATTTACACTTACAGTTTCAGTAATTTACAGATTGTTAAAGGAATCAATGTATTTCAAATTAAATATATAATAAAAAGATCACAATGGTGAAAGATACCTGCAGATACAGAGTAGTTTGTGATTGATGGCAGGGAGTTGATGAAACATTGCTGTTACCTCCTTGTGTATGAATAAACTGGTGAAAAAGAAAAGAAAAAAATTAAAGTTTGGATATAACCTGAATGATTAAAGCACAAAACAAACAATAGAAACAAAATATACCTTGGACTTAGACTTTGTTAATAGAGTTCTGGAATAAGGAGTACGGGGGAAGTTATGAAGTCCAAATCTGCTCCTCTGACTTTGTGGTGTTACGTAAGCCTCTGGCACCACAGCACCAGGCCAACATGTTGATGACTTCTTTGATGGTGATGGATCATATGGTTTTATAGCAGCTTCATCACCATGCAACACACTGTTTTTAACAGTATGAATCATGCTCTTAGAACTGGGGCCTGCTCCTGATGCAAGGGAATCCATATATGCTCTAGCAATCTCAATTGAAGCACCAATTTCATCTTGAACCTGGAGAGTTGTTAAACACACAATTCAACCCTGAATAGATCTCAAGGATAGGCAAAGAGCTTGATCATAATCTACTGGTAAGTGCGAATGGTTTAAACACAAAATTGTAATACTCACTTTTGGCAGACCAAATGGTGATGGGCTTCCCCTTATGGTTCCAGTCAACACTTCTTGCCTTTGTTCATCAGAAACTGTTGGAAGCACATGTGCCATCGCAAGCCCTGAATCATCTTTCCTAGAAATTAAATTTGCATTTTCCTTTCCTCGTTCAACATAAGAAAGATCCATTGCCCTTGAATTTAATACCTTCACTAAATGATCAAATTCATCTCTACATGAGGAGATTAAAGACTTTTAGACATGGTACATCCGTTGATAAAAACAAATGGTTCTCTTCGCTAAGGGTATGCTTAAAAGGGAAGGGATGGGAAGGTGAATTTATCATTTTAGGTAAATATTCTCTCATTTGAAAAGAAAATTACATCGAGATAAAATGAAAGATTATCATATAACCTTCTAATTGACCCTTGTTTATTTTTATAAACATTTTATAAAACTCAATTCAAAAATAAAAAATGCACCTTCCACTTCCTCAACCCAAACATAATCTAAAGAACAAAGGAAATTCAAGTAGTTTTTCTAACAGCATGAGCACACATTCAGCTAGGGCTTGATTTGTAAACAACAGTGGATGTAAGTCTAGCCATCCCTCATGAATAACTTAATTTGATCTACTACATGAATAACTTCCATGGTATAATTGAGAAACGACCAATCAAGCAAGGGAGAAAAAAACATTATTATTATAAATTAAACTGATGTACCTAGAGAATTTTTTCCCTTTCACCAGCCCCTCAATATCAGAAAGCCTACTTTTATCAGATTGCTCTCCTTTTTCATCCTGCCTGGACAGAACCAAATCTGAACTGCTTTTCAGTTTACCACTGATGCCACTAGTACTGGCCATTTCAGTTGATTTGGATGCCAAAAGCTGCAAAAGAATAACCAGTCAAAAAGAAATATGTGGGGTGAGGAATAGTAACCACCCACTCCACTAGATTATACACAAAAAAAATAAAAATAAAAAATTGATCGGAGAGTGCAGGGAAGCAATATGCAGAAAACAACTAAGTGGGAAGGGAAATTGCTGTTATAAGATGGAGATTTTAGATACAAAATCCAATATCAAGGACTGTGACTCACATGACAGAAATAGTGAACCAGACAGAATTGTTTATTTATTTTAATCAGAAAAGGATTCTATATAAACAAAGTATAAGCTTTAGGATGAAGAGAAATGGAGGGAAAACACAGCTGAAAGAGTTACCCACATACATGGGCATGGCAAGATCCAGATAATCAACAATTAGTTATAACTTATAACAGGAATGAATAAGGCCATAAATCACAAAAGGTGGTAAATGGATAATAAAAGGATGTAGAGAATTAGGAGAATGGAAGCATAAAAGAATGAATGGACACTGGGCATACAAAGTCAATTAAGCTTAGCAGAACACTGATAAGGAACAAATAGCAGAATGAAAAGAAAAAGACAAATGAAAAGATTTTGAAATTAAAAAAATACACAGTCGATCTATCTGAAAATGTACTAAGATTATTTTGGTGAATATATATAGATATAGATATATACATGATTGCACAGAGTCTAAAACATACTCATAAAAATGGCAAAGATGGGTTTACAACTCTTCTAGTAATAGCTTCTGCTTCTTCAACTTTCTATGATTTTAGGATTTAAAAACATCCAGGCAGCAAAGTATATAGTTTTAATTGGTAAATTTTGGGTCAACTCATAAAAAACTCTAGATGCAGTGGTAAAGCTAAAAATAAGCAGTATTTTTGTTCTATTTTCATGTGAAGGAAAATCGTTCCTTTCTGGTTTATTAAGAGTTCAGACCAGAAAAGTCTTTGCCATTTGCTGCAGCAAAGAATTACCACTCTGGACCAGTAGAACTGAATATTAAAATTGTAGGGGGTACCACTTGGATGTTGCATGCATATACATTAGCTGAAAACCAGGAGTAATGGGCCTGGTCATAATATTTTTTAATTTAAAATTAGCTGCATCAAAGCACTAAGCTTAACCACTACAAAGCACTAAGCTTGACCACTACATGACATACTCCATAAACCCCTACTTAATTGGGACAAATGACACAATCCATGAAAGAATAGATTCTGCAAATAGAAACTGAAAATCAGGTGCTGTTATGGTTTGACCCAAGTGCCCTTCTCCATTGATATATAACTAGAGGTTTATTAACTTACCAAAGCTTTGGCTACCAAGAATCTTTCTTAAATCCACCTGAGAAAGAAATCATGGCATTAGTGTTGGCCATTCAACATTGGCACCCTTATCTCTTGGGAAGTCCACTTATGGTGCATTCCGATCATAGAAGTTTTAAATTTTTGCTACAGTAACATATTGCTTCATCAGACCAATAATATTGGATTGCCAAATTGTTGGGTTATCAATTTAGTGTGAAATATAGACCGGGAAAGGAGATCACTGCTGCTGAATTAGCAAGAATCAGTTCCTTTCCTCTGTGGACTGAGGGGAAGAAATTGATTGAAGATGTGCAGCATGACCCATTTCTTATCAAGATTGATTTTACCAAGAGAGTGGTCTTTGTAGTTGCCATGGGCTGAATTGTGCTATAACACTACATGGAACATTTCTATTAACACTACTCCCTTTGAAATTGTTCATGGGAGAAAACCACCATCCATATTAAGTTTTCTACCTAATGAAATTAAAATGGAGGCAGTGGCTCATGCTTTGATTGAAATGGATGAAGCTTTGAGACAACTCAAATACCATTTGTGTAGAGCTCAACATAACATGAAGAGGAGACCAGATCAGCATAGAAGGAATGTTTGTTTTCAAGTGGGGGAGCAGATACACTTGAAACTAAGGCCTCACAGGCAACAATCAGTGGCTCAAGGGATTAATCAAAAGCACTCTGCTCAATTTTATGATTCTTTTACAGTGACTAAGAAAGTTGGTATTGTGGCATATCAGCTAGCTTTGCCACCATCTTCCAAAATTCATCCAGTCTTTCATGTTTCACAGTTAAACCAAGTTGTTGGAGATTGAAGTGTTGAGCCTTCTTTCCCTCTGGGATTGGAGGGAGACTTGGAGGAATCAATGGAACTAGAGGAAGTGTTAGCTCTCTGATCAAAGTTGTAAAATGGTGTGCCAATACCTCAGCTCCTGATTAAGTGGAAGGGAAAATCAGAGGAGGAAGCAACATGGGAGGAGTTTATCATCTGTGATCAATTTCCTTGGTTTAGTATTGAGGACACGACTAATTTTCAAGGAGTAGCAATTGATGAGACTCTTAGGCATAAAATTTCAAGGGATGAAAAAGTGTTACTGAGCTGGATCAGCAGGTTAACTGTGTGGGGAAAGAATTCAAAGTATATTCTAGGACAGAAACAAGGGGGACACATGGTGAAGGATATGGAGGAAAGTTAATTACACTGAATGAGCAGGGTGCTGGATACCCATGAGCAATGTTGTCAAATGGCCGTTATGGCGGCGCCATGGCGGTATGGCGTGGCGGAAATGACGGACGCCGTTATGAAGATGGCGTGGCGTGGCGGAATGACGTGGCGGCGCCATGGCGGCCGTTACGAGCATGGCGGTAACGGCCGGCCATGGCGGAAATCGTGATAAATGGCGTTTTTAAAAAAAAAAATGGATTTTCTGCACTTTTGGGCTAGATCCGACCCGACCCAGCTCAGAATCCAACTGCCTAAATCCAGGTTTTTTTTCTCTCTTCTCCTTACGATCTCACTCTCCCTCTCTTTGCAATCACACTCTCTGCGATCTCACTCTCCACTCTGCTCATCTCTTTGAGCTCCCTCCATCTCTCTCTCTCTCTCTCTCTCTCTGCGACCACTTCTCTCTCTCTCTCTGCGACTGCTTTCTCTGAGATCTCGTTGCTGAGATCTCATTTTCTTGGGCTCTTTGTGTTTCTGTTTTGGTGCATTTCGGTCTGTATTTTAGGCAACTGCAGCTGCATCTCCGGCGACTGCACCATCTCCGGTGACTCCAACCTCCATTTCCGGCGACTGCACTTCCATCTCCGGCGACTCCATTTTTCTGGTAGCTATTTTTTTCATTTTTCCTCTCAGTTTTTTCTTTATTTCCCCCATTTAAATTTTACCCTTTCCATCTTTCAATTTTTACCTCCCACATTTTTATTTTTCTCTGTTTTTTCTCTGATTTTTCTCAAAAAAAAATTCTATTTATTTCAGCTACTCTTAACATGGCTCAACATGAGTCTTCATCAAATTGTTCAAAAACTTCTAATCGTTCTGACCCGGGATGGAAATATGCTCATTCGGTGAAAGATGGAGATACAAACAACATTGTATGTAATTTTTGTGGAAAAGTTATGAGTGCGGGAATCACTAGAGTGAAACAGCATTTAATTGGAAAGAAGGGTAACGTGAAAGCTTGTCCCAAGTGTCCGGAAGAAGTTAGAAAAGAGATTGAGACATATCAAAAGGAAAAAAAGAATCAAAATAATTTTGAGATGCCAAATGTGAGAAGCTTTGAAGGTATAAGCTATGATGTAAGTGAGGATGAAGAGGATACCCAAACCCGTAGCGTTGCCATTGGAAATCAGAAAGGGCCAATGGACTTGTTTTGTAGAAAGCCTGAAAGTGCAATTGAGAAAAGAAAAAAGGAAAAATTGAGACAAACAAATATAAGAGAACGATGTGACAAAGAAGCCAAGACAAGGGTCCATCAATACATAGCTCGATTTTGGTATCAAGCTGGCCTTTCCTTTAACCTCATTAAAATGAAGAGCTTTCAAGAAATGCTTACAGCTGTTGGCGCTTTCGGTCCAAATTTACCAGCTCCAAGTTATCATGATATTCGAGTTCCACTTCTAAAGAAAGAGCTAGAATATACCGATTCCCTCATGAAAGATCATAAAGAGCAATGGAGCAAACATGGTTGTTCCATAATGTCAGATGCATGGACCGATCGAAAGCAAAGATGCTTGATTAATTTTTTGGTCAACTCTCCTGCTGGTACTATGTTTGTGAGGTCTATTGATGGATCTAATTTTGTGAAGACCGGTGAAAAATTATTTGAGATGCTTGATGCTCTTGTGGAAGAGATTGGAGAAGATAAAGTTGTGCAAGTAATAACGGATAATGAAAGCAATTATGTCTTGGCTGGTAAGATGTTAGAAGCGAAAAGACCACATCTTTATTGGACTCCTTGTGCAGCTCATTGCATAGATCTTATGCTTGAAGATATTGGAAAGCTTCCTTTGATAAAGAAGACAATTCAAAGGGGAATATCGGTTGTTGGCTTTATCTACAATCATTCAAGTACCTTGAGTTTGTTGAGAAATTTTACAAACAAGAGGGAATTGGTAAGACATGCAGTTACTCGATTTGCAACTTCTTTTCTATCATTAGAAAGACTTCACCAAGAAAAAGCAAATCTTAGAAAGATGTTTACTTCTGAGGAATGGTGTAAAAACAAGTTATCAAAGGAAGCTAAAGGGAAGCAAGCAACAAAAATTCTATTAAATCCTGTATTTTGGAATAATGTGGTGTATACTTTGAAAATCATGGCTCCTCTTGTCCGGGTGTTACGTTTGGTTGATGGAGAAAGAAGACCAGCTATGGGGTATATTTATGAAGCAATGGAGAAAAGTAAAGAAGCTATCATGAAGTCATTCAAAAATAATGAAAGTAAATACAAAGATGTGTTTGCAATCATTGATAACAGATGGACTTGTCAGCTTCACCGTCCATTACATGCAGCTGGTCACATTTTAAACCCAGAATTTTACTATGACAACCCTCAAATTGAATTTGATTTGGAAGTTACAAATGGGTTGTATGATTGTATCAAGAGGTTGGTGCCAAGTCGGGATGTGCAACAAAGTATACTACTTGAATTACCAATTTACAAGAGCGGTGGTGGTCTCTTTGGGTCCGACTTTGCAAAATCACAAAGAAAAAGCATTGCTCCCGGTAATTCATCAAATTCTTCAATATTTTAATTTTAAGGTTATACTTCATCTTCAGAGTTATAATTTGTCTTTCATTTTATAGCTCAATGGTGGAGAATGTATGGACATTCAGCTCCACATTTGCAGCAACTAGCTATCAAAATTTTGAGCTTGACATGTAGTGCATCCGGATGTGAACGCAACTGGAGTGTTTTTGAGCAAGTAATTTTTTATCTCTCGAGCCTACTATTTTCTTTTATAAATTAGAGAGAAACTGATTAATATTCTTATAATTAAACTCACGTTGCAGATTCATTCAAAGAAGAGAAATAGGCTTGATCACAAAAAATTACATGACTTGGTTTATGTGAAATACAACCAACAATTCAAAGAACGTTACAATCTTAAAGATGTAATTGATCCAATTACACTCAATGATATTGATGAGTGTAATGAGTGGTTGGTTGGAGAAATGAATGATGATGCTCTAGATGAGGATGTTGAAAATGACTTAGTTTTTTATGGTGATAACACTTTAAATTGGGCAACTGTTTATGAAGCTTCTGGAATTGGAGAGCCTACAACATATACTAGGCGTCATTCTAAGAAAAGAAAGAATCCATCAAGTGGTATCACTATCAAAGCTGCAAAAGTTTCCAAGATTAAGGCATGTTCAACAACAAAAGGAAAAGAGAAAATGGTTCTTGAAGATGATGATGAAGAATTAGAAGATGAAGAAATGTCGGAAGAAACAGAAGATGAATTAGAATTTAATCTTCCACAATCTGAAGGAGAAGAAGAGGAGGGATATGCCTTGGTGGATGAGAAAGAGGATGATTATGTTGGAGTTGAAGAAGAAGACTAAATTGATAATCTTTATTTTTATTGTTAACTTGACATTTGATAATTACATATTTTGTATTTAATTATACTTTAGATTGAAGGTTATGTTACATATATTTTTAGTTAATTATTTTCTATTATTTTCTGTGACCTATAGTATTTTTTTATATATTTTATTACATCTGCCATAAATCTGCCATAACCCGCCATGGCGGCCGCCATAACTTTATGGCAGTTTTTTGAGTTTCCGCCATGAACCGCCATCCGCCATTAATAACATTGCCCATGAGGGAGTTTGGAAAAGGAGGAGAGAAGAGAGAGAGAGAGAGAAGCAGGGGCGGGAGAAAAGCTCCTGAGTAATTCAGCTTTGGGCTTGGACAAGGAAACGATAGTTCCTTGAGTTCTATTTTCTTTTCTTCAGTATAATTGATACTTTCTTCATTTCTTTTGATTGTCTTTATCAATGTGTGAATGATTGCACAAAGCCTAAAATGTACTCATAAAAAAGCTAAAGATGGGTTTTTTAATCAAAAATTGGTTTCAGTTTTGTTTTGTTTATTTAATGAGTATGAGACCACATGTTGTTTAGGATTTTACAACTCTTTAGTGTTCTATTATTTGGGATTTAAATAATGTCCAAGCAAGCAAAGCATTAAGCTTTAATTGGCAAATTTTGGTTCAACCCTATAAAAAATACAAGATGGATTGGCATAGCTCCTAAAAATGTGCAGTATTTTTTCTAGTGTCATGTGAAGCAAAAACACTCCTTACATGTATATTACTTCTGCGTGAATAATCTTCAAGACTGTCACCAGTTCTCCATCTATCTATTGCCAACAAACAAGTCGAACAGAAAAATGAGAGACTTGCCATTAACAAGTAAATTATATTATATATGGACACAGATAAAGATAATGGGCATCATATTTAACTCCACCATTAAACGCACTGATTCTTGTTACAAGCTAAAAGCAAGGAGTACCAAATAAATAAACACTAGTCAAGCACCAGAAGGTTTTGCGTTGACCACATAAAGATAGAATATAAATACAAATATAATACAGGATAATATGCTTGGGAAATTGAAAAAATAGTAAGTTAAGGGGATCTGGAGAGTAAAATCGCTTTGAAAAATATTAAATCTAGAAAGTTCCTTCATCACAAAGAAGTCAATGTAATGAATGCTACAAAATTCATGCCATTACATCATTTTCATTGTAGAACAAACATCAAAGTGCTGTCATTCATACATGCCCAAAATAATTAATTTCAATCAGCCAATATCATAGCCATTCAACTTGCCCATCCAATAATCTCTAATAAGTAAAATGTGGGCCTTCTGTAACCTCCTATTCCAGGTACAGACAATACCAAAATTAATGCATCTACAAGTCGGACTAAACACAAGTGACGAGAAGAAATAGGAACCGTTTACAAAGTTAGGCGTGTTCCTAGGTACTGAGGAGATTTATGGTTAGGCCTTTATTTCAATCAACTAAAAGCAATTGTACCCAAACATTAGTCACTGCATTACTTTTGCATAATCTTTTGACCAATAAATTGACTTACCTAGTATTGCATTAATTTTGCATAATCTTTTGACCAAAAGCAGCTTGATCAGTCACTCCTTTGTACATGAATTGAAGGATCTGAATATTTGCTTCAAAGAACAATAAATGAATATTTGCTTCAAAGAACAATAAATGGTTTATGTTATCAAACCACATAGTTGAGCATCAAGTCGCTTCCATTGTGCTATTTCACCATTAGATCAGTGTACCCTTGACCCTAAAGGCATAGCTCAATATCTAAGGCGCAAGTAGCGTAGTTTGTTCCATGTGGCTCATCAATGGAAATAGCTAAGGTAATACAGTTCATGAAAATTAGGAGATCAGTTTTGGGATTTGCCATTTTAAGAGAAGTGTTTGTCTTTGGGAGAGTCTGTTTTAGTAGTCTATAAGGTATCTCAGTTCCGGCCATGTCCTAAACAATATAGAGCATGTACATGTTCAGGTACCTCTTTGAAACAACTGGAAACAAACTATGAACTACAAGGGAATAGTTTGAAAAACAACAGAAGAAACCAGCAATCTAAAACAGGTTCAAACTGGTCAGTAAACCACTAAATTAGGCCAGAAAACAGCTTTGGAGGGTGCCTAGGATGACTCCTGTGAATATATAATCATGTTTTATATGTGCTGAAACAGTGTCTGGAACTGTGGCACATCACATGAAACCCATGTGCAGCAAAAATGAGCAGTGAAAAGACAAATGAAAGAGTCAGCAGCATAGCTTCCAGGCCTAGTTGATTATAAGATTCCAAGCACACGTAAGCAAAAAATGAGGGTTTTCTCAAAAAGCTTCAATACCATGTTATGAGAGGGAAAAAAGAGGAAGACCCAAAAAATTGTGATCGTTGGTCACTGTTTTCTGATTTTATTACAAAAGGAGAGAGCCTTTACAGCTGTACAGTGCACTGTAAAAGAATACTAGAATAAAACTAGCAGTAGCAAAACATGAAGGCAACCCATATATAAAAAAATACTGTAAAAAATTTTTAAAAAATTAAACAAACAAGCTGCAGCGTACAAATCCACAGTCTCCTAAGATTCAAAAACTTAAATATTATTATAATCCTAACTCTACCTCAGAATCTTCAATTATCGAAAGCCATCAAGAAAAAATATCCACCTTAGTCCTCTGAATCTTTGACATCCTTAAAATCCACACAGTATTCTTTTTCCAAGCATTCTAAATGCTCAAACAAAACCCTTTCTATTGCTAAAAGACCAACAACAAATTTTATTTCTTTCATTAACTTGTAGAAGATCTCTATCTCAGGAGCTTTAAATAGTTGTCCAACAGGAAGTCCCCAAGATTAGAAATAATGAGAATGCATCTCCATGATGTGAGTCTCCAAATAAAAATAAAGTCACTCCAATAACCCATTATAGCAATTCCTTAAGTAGGCTTCATATACTTTTGTCATTACAACTAAATAAAACAACTGATATTGTGACAAAGGGTTCAACAAAATAGAGCAAGAACTACAGTGCAACTAATAAATAATCACTTCAAAATTAAAATCCTATCTTCCATCATCAAATTAATGCTTTCTGTTCAGGGAAAGATTTGTAAAAGTGGCTGCTTCTGAGAACCATTGCGTATTTAAACTCGCTTGCAAGTAAGCAACAAATCTCAAGCAAAACAAATCTGTCATTTAATTTGACGTTGAAACACTCACATTGTTTAATTTCTTTATAATCACCACACCAAGTACGAGAACACTCACAACAAAAATCATTCATTGATTCAGGATAGACCTTTAGCAACGAAATACACAAAATCCAAGCAATCCTAACTATAAAGACGCAGTTATTTATATTGCCACAAACCAAGACATGAATTTGCTTTTGAAGAATAACAGAAACAATCATTCAAATAATAATTTATTTATTATTGTTAATGGATTAAACGCGAGAAAAAGGAATATAACCTTGATCTTCGACATCAGAGGTAGGGCTAGGGAGAGCAGAGAGTGGGGGCGCCGGGGAGAGGAAGGAAGGGAGAATACGGGTGGCTCTGCCGGCGATGAGGCGGTAGGCAGGGTCGACGAGCTTTGAAATCCAACGGCGGCGGACGGACTCCGTCGGACAGGCGTAGGGGCTAGCCGACAGCTTTCTGAGCTCGCCTCCGGCGCCCCTCTCCTCCGGTGCCGACACGGTGGTTTGATCGATGTCCATGAAAGTAACCGAAAAGTTGAAAAGAGAAAAAGAAAAAACAATCAAGGCAGGCAAAAACTGCAGCCGTAACTCGGATGAAGTAAAGGCAAATGCTTATTATACACACACTGGTTGTCCGTGGGTCCGCCAAAATTATTTTAAAATTTTTTTTTTGCTAATATATATACCGATTTCTTTAAAATATAAAATAAAATAAATATAAAATGTCTTCTTTATGTAAAATTTTAAAATATATTTTTTTAAACTATACTTTCATTTTTAATCTATGAAATTTTAAAAATATTATATTAATTTTTAACTTTTTTTTAATAGAACATTTTTATCTTTAAACCCATACATTATCTATAAATAATAAAATGCTAACATGTTATGTAAAAAAATAAATATGAAAGTTGACAAAACAATGTTGTCTTAATAGAAGGTGGTAAACTCACTATCATTACCAATGTAGATGACCAAAGAATAAAACCATTTGTGGTGGTCTATACAACTAGTGGATCAAATTGTAAGGTGAACTTCAAAAACACATTCTTTATGAAATGGTTTATTAGCAGGAATATGTTAAGGTGAATAACTAGTCCAGCCATGTCTCTTATAGGGTTATTAGTGATGAGAACAACAATGTCAAACTTGAATGCTTGCTATAGACAAGCAGTTTGTAGTTGAAGAAATATTTGCATAAGTCTTTTTCTTTTATTATTATTCCTTTTTATTTCATGATACTTCTATTATTTAAAGTTTTAAACTTTTGAGAGAGATCTTGTTTTTTGTGTTCCCATGTTATGTAATTCACTATAAATTTTGAGAAAGCTTGTGGATGATGCTTCCAAGTTTTTGAATAAGAGTGACAAATGTTGTTATTATAGTGTTTGCTGCTTACTTCAATGATTTGAAAAAAACTATAGGAAAACAACGAAACAATCATGATGTTTGACCTTGAAGAAAGTACTTTTGATGTCTCAAGCATTTGATATCATAAAATTTTGTTAGTCTTTTAGTCAATGTCATTCTTATTTTATAGAGAGTGGTTTTATGATCCACTTTATTTGTTTTGTATGCTTACTTATTTGTTAGAATGATATTTTACCTTTTTAATTTTAAATGTTGTTTAGCATAAGTTTCTTATTAAATGATTTAGAATATTAAACAATTCAACGATCTGCATTTATAGATTTTGATATTTCTCTTATCCCCTCACTTTAGGAAATTTATTTCATGTATGATTGTATGAATGAGATTTTGTTTTCTTCTTTGCTATTGCTTAGCAATGATTTTCTTGGCACTTTTCTCTCAAAGTTTTGTAACTTTATGCACCTTTTGAAGATTACATGTCTTAAAACTCATGACAAATAAAATAAAATCATTCAAATATTTGAAATTGACAAAATCAAGCCAAATATTATTTATAACACATATATGCACTTATATATAAGTTTAGCGATTCATATTTTGATAAAGTATAATTTTTTCTATAAATTTGGTTTAGAGGCCATTTTGTTCGAATTTGTGTGCCTTGGGGTATTCAACATCCTAAAGGCTATGAACAATTTGATGAAAAAAAACAAGCAAGATGTTGCTTATTCAGCTTTTGCTACAATGAAAGAGGTTGACTACAATTTATTTTCATTTATCTTGAATGAATTGATTCAATTACTTTATTTACTCTAAATTTATTACATAGATTTCAACTTTGGTTTACTTATGATAGAAGGTTGCTCAAGAGTAGGCATTATGTAACACCTTAAATTTAATTTTAATAAATAAGGAATTTCACAAAATTTTTAAAATAATAAAACTTTCATTTTAATCCAGTCTCAGTGAAGGGGTTACAAATTACATCAAACAGTTGCTATAGAACTTATTCAAACACATCAATTTTCAAAATAATATCTTAAGTCTTATAGCAGTTCCATCCACCCCTTCACTGAGACTGGTGCCGATCGTCTTGATTACCTGAAAAATAAATGTAAGGGTGATTACTCTATACTATTTAACACACAACAAGCATAGAGCCTCACTGTGCATATACTTTACACAAGATAAATATAAACAACATTTTCACACAATTTATCACCGATGCACTTATGAAACCAACAGTTATACACATTTGCACTCATGGCACGCCATCACACTCACTGAAGCACTGTGATTACAGATTTCCACTATGAATGGTTGCCGGTTACCTCCACCTCACGGATACCACGTGGGTAGTCACGGGTCGCTCAGCAAAGGTAATGGTCAGAGGTCTAGTTAGGAAGAGAGTGTGTGGCCCGTGGTGCACCCGTTCCACAGTCAGTGTCACCACCACTCTCTTCTCCCCAAAGTATTTTTACCGTCCTTATCTTCCATACCCCCAGTGTATCGCTGAATCATTCACAATACATTACAATGACGCTAACACGCCCATTCACACATATTCCATTCACACACGCAATAATCATTCTTACACATGACACACAACTCACATTTGCATTCAAATACACGACACTAGGCCCACATTTATTCACAATATCATTAATTCACCAATCAATGGCATTCCATCACACACAATCACCCCACGGGGCCTAACTATTCCAGCACACATCACATTGCACACCAATTTCCATTCAACACGCAATTTCTACTCCCTATCTCAGTCACATTGCATTAATTAATAAAACACACAAGAATTATAGCACACTGAGATAGGGTAGAGTCTCCCCTTACCTTGGATTGAAGACCCACACTCGGATTCGACCACGGACGTGCTCCCTACACAGATTTCGACCTCCAAGCGTTCTCCACGCGAATTCAACCCTCAATCAAGCTCACGAACGGCTTTAGAGGCAATTTAATCGGTGAAAAAAGGTTTGGGAACGAGAGGATTAAAGGGATTTCAAAGGGAGAGGGAGAAATAACTCTCCCCCTAACCCTAACCTCCTTTAAATCCTTTTATAGTTGCGATACTCTCGCTACAGCGACACACCCTCTCGCTGCAGCAAAAATATCAGACGAAACTGCACTCTGGTTTCTGCAGAATCTCGCTACAGCGAGACTGCACCCAGAAATGCACCACAAATTGTCGCTCTGTCGCTACAGTAAGAAGGCGACAGTTTTGGTCCTTCTTTTCAAGGTCCTCTCGCTGCAGCGAGGACAACCCAAAATTACTCCCTGCACTTAGGCACTTAGCCCATTTCAGCCCTATCTAGTCATGCATAAACACAATACACATATCCATATACTTAATACACATAAACATCATTATCAAGTAAATTAACACACACACATATATATGCATTTAGATTTATATAAATAACAATAATTAATATTACAAAATTTGAGGCGTTACACATCACACTTGGATATTACTTTAGAAAATATGAGGTGGTTTCCTATCACTAATACATAATACATGTTTATGTTTTTTTGTTAAGTGTTAATAATTGTGCATGGAAAGAATTTTGGCCAACTTTCTTACCTTGATATATGTTTATGCATTTTTTTTAGAGTTAAATGTTATTCTTAGGATAGTATAAATGATAAATCCACAGTTTACTACATTTTTAGCATAGTTTTTGTTAGTAAATGAGTTGTTAAATACTAAATAAAATTGAAAATACCATAAAAATTGCATTAATATTCATAGTTGTGTAGTTAGTTTGGAATTTTGGATTTTATTCTAATTCTAGAGAAATTTAGCTTAAAAAGACTTAATTTTTGTATAGAAGCTTGAGCTGAGACTTTGAAGTTGATATTGAAGTGAAGAAAGTTGAGAAATTGAACTTAAAAGACCAAGAATCAAGTGATAAGTGCTAGGCATAGTCACTTTGGATAAATAAAGTTAACACTTTGAAGAAGAAAATCCATGAAGATTAAGTGTGTAGCAACTCTAAGTACTGAAAGTGAACACTTTGTAATACCTTGGGTTGTATGTGTCAGAAATCATAAGACTTGAGTGTAGTGCTTGCCATAAATGAATGTATTTCCCTTGTCTTAGTGCATTGATTTTGAATTATAACTAAATGTGCTGTGTGTTGAGCTGATGTGGATGAATATGTTTATGTATGTATTGGGTAGTGGCTGGATTCGAAATGGGAGAAATAACATGAGTTCTGGTGCAGGGATTCTCGCTATAGCGAGAGGTCCTAGGGAAAAGGCATGCGACTATCGCCTTCTTGCTGTAACGAGAGAGCGACAGTTTAGGCTGCATTTCTGGGTGAAGACTCGCTGTAGTGAGAGGGCCTCGCTTTAGCATGATTCTGCAGAAACCAAAGTGCAGTTTCTTCTGAGTTTTTCACTGTGACGAGAGGGCGTGTCGCTGCAGTGAGATTTCCAAAACCCTCGACCCCTCTCTTCTTCCCTTCACATTTTCGGTCGATTCCCGCCCCAAATCACTAGAAAACCCCAACCGTGATTCTAGGCCGAGGGGAGTGATTGAAGCCATTTTGGGTAAGTTTTATGGTTTCCTTTTAGGATTTCTTGAATTTCTCCAATCCCCATTCGATTTTCTGAGCTTGGCTGCGTTTGTAGGGAAGTTCTTGTGGATTCTAAGCTTAAATAACCAAGAGCACCTTGAAACACACTGGATTGAGGTAAGGGGAGCTTGCCCTAGGTCATTTTGATGATTTGGGAGTGATGAGAGGTGTTGAGAGAGAGTTAGAGCTGCATTTTTGGATTGAAATTGTTGTGTTGAGGTGATTGTTGTGTTGAAATTGCTAAATTAGCTGAGCTGTTATATGATTATTGCTGAAATTATTAATATGCTGATTGCTGCATCATTCTAGAGCTGAATAGGGCTGTCATTATAGGTGCTGTGTCATATGCTATAATTGCTGTTTCTTGCTGATTTGTTGCTATTATTTTAATTTATAAGCTGTTTCTTTTTGTAAGCTCACCCTTGTAATTGCTGTTGTTGTGATGTTGTGCTGCGATGACCGTACTTTAGTACGTGAACAGATCAGGCAGGTGAGGCTTCAGCTTCCCAGGCTGACAGGAGTAGCTGATGGAGAAGCGAAGGTTTAGAAATTAGGCTATGTTGGGACTTTCTCGTGTATTTGACTTTTGCTGTAATTATTATTTGTA